TTTTTTTTTTTTTGCTGAAATAGGTTTTTATTAATTTTTGAGATAGCACACTGATTTTAAGCGTTTATCCCATTTTTAATAGTGGCTGTAATTTGCCACCATTTGGTTGACGTTTTGCAATTTTTTGAAAAGTATGGTATGATTTTTCGTTTTAAGCCTCTGATGACGGTTGTTTAGAGATGAAGGAGTATCATCAAAAATGTCCAATTCTGTTCACTTTTTCTCCAGTTTTTCTGGTACTGAATTCCAATTTTTTTTCGTACAGGTTTTTCTCGCCACACAGGTGCAGATTACTTACAGGTTGATTGCTCTCTTCAGTACTGGTTAATTCATTGTTGTGCAATGGTGAGTTTTTATCTTATTTTTTATTTTTTGTTCTATGTTTTCAGACTTTCAGACTTAACTTGTAATAAAAATCATCACATACTTTAACTGAATGTTACAGCTAATAATAGTTTTTCTTTTTAATTCTTTATTTTTCTCAGTATTCACTGATTTACTACTTAGAACGTTGTTGGGACTCTTACTCTCAGTTTTCTCCCGTGTTAACACTGAGTTTGCAAGCCAGTTGATTAGTAAATATACACCTGTAGTTTTTTCTGTCTCCTACTATAAGCGATTTTTTTTAATCTAATTCTTCCTCAACTTTTTTCTTGTATGTGCGAGTTTTTTCGTGCGTTTGTGTGCGATCTAATTAAACTAAAAACTTTTTTTTGTACATTTAATCGTTTGTGAATGTTTGCAACTAAAGAAACCTTAAATTTCCAAGATTATGCAAAACATACAGATTTTGCGGTGATCGACTGACGTGCTTGACTTGCTGTCATGTTTCAAGAGGTTAAATTGTAGTGTTTTATACTGCTGTGACAGTAGATTTAAGATAACATTATTATTATTTTCATTATTGTTATCTGTTATTATTATTGCCATTATCATTATGAAATACGCATTGATTGTCTGGCTGTTTACTAGTAATTTTGAAGGGAAGTTGCGTCTTGCATCGTTGGTCCTATTAATACTGACAAATTTCTTGGTTTTTTTCATTATTTTGTTTCCTGCTGAAATATCCTTGAAAATTGTGTTTTCATGCTAAATCCCTTACGCTTTACGCTGTCGGTGCGATAGTTTGAAAGAAATTTCTTAACATGTATTGGATAATTAAAATTAAAAGAGCAAAAAAATGTTAGATATATAAATTGAAAAGATGAAATAAAATAAAAGTGAAGAGAAAGTTTAAAAAAGCAGAGGAGAGATAGCAGAAAAGGGTAAGATCGGTTGCTTTAAAAAATCCTGAGGTTCTAAAAACGACACCTTAAGATTGCATTATGTATTTTTATTTTGTTTAAAATGCTTGGAATGAAAAGGAGCAAAAATAATAAAAAGCATGTGTATGTTTATACTGCACAATATACGCTTTTTCAGGGAAACGAATCGTCTCTACCAATGGAAATGTGTAGTAATTGTTAGTTTTTTATTTCCTTTTCTTATTTTAGATTATTTTTGGAAAGATTCTTAATTGTTTTGCATTGTCATTTTCTTTTTTCATTTATCCATTAAAATTTATTTTACTCTGGTTCCAAAAGCTGTTAACAAATGGGGAACTTAAGGATATGGTCGATTGCGTTTTAGAAGCTTTTTACACCTAATGTTTTATTATAGTTAAAATACTTCATGCACACTTCGAGCAAGATGTTGCTGCATAAATACATCGATTAATTAGGGTGCGCGTTACGATGGGTAGTTGATGTTGTTACTTAACAGACATCAGGCTTAATCATATTTGTTCCTAAGTTGCGATGAACAGTTGAAGTTTGAGTCTTTTCAACCTTAGTTATTTTAGTGAAAAAGTTTTTCAACTGATCACTGTAGTGGAGTAAGATGAAATGGTTATTTTATGATAAACATATCAGTTTGAGGTTAGATATTTGGTGCTCGAAGAATATTTTGTATTTCGTTAGCGACGATTACGATTCTTTAAGTACACCACTAGCGAACCCTGTTTAGAAATTTTTGCACTTTCGTTCAGTGGGACTGATCAAATTTCTTAGGCTTACGTACTGCAGCATAGTTTCTTCTAATGTAATCTCTTTTATAGACTTGGGTTTCTTGAATTTCTCAGGCAAGCAAAAAATAAAAAACTAGTCGGTTTTATCCTGACCGATTGAAAACTAAGCAGAATTTAATTTTTATTGATTAAATCACTGGAGAATTTTTTATGGCTTGTATGGCTTATTTTATTTCTTAATTTAGGATTGTTTCAGATTTTTTTTTTAATTTGTGAAGATGGACATATTGCTTCTTTTCATGACTTTAGACCTCAGCAATTTTTTATTTATTCGGTAAACTAAAGTGACTTAATGCCAAACATTTAGCTGTCGAGCTTTTTAGTTGTTTTTTGAAAAATTGGCTGCTTATTTTCTTATGTTGCTTAGCCTTCGACTAAAAATGAAATTAGTTTTTTTTTTTTGCGTGGGTGGTAATAGAAAAAAGTCAAAACTAGGCAATAATTTTCGGGTTAGAAAGCAAGAGAACGCTAGTTAGACTCGTAATTTGGTAAAACGAAAGAAATAGCAAATAAAAAAGTTGAAAGCCAGGAACTTCAGAAGAAGTTCTTTTAGTAAATGGCGAGGTTTGCCAAATGATACACTCAGTAAAAGTGCATGATATATTTAACAAAATTGTTACCGTTTTATCAGTTTAGTTGACGCATATGAATTGCGGAGATTAGCACGTCGGTTCAAAAAACTCGATTTGGATGGTTCAGGAAGTCTAAGTGTGGACGAATTTATGTCGTTACCAGAATTGCAGCAGAATCCGTTAGTTCAGAGAGTTATTGATATATTTGATGAAGATAACAATGGTGAAGTGGATTTCAAAGGTATTGTGTCCAATTCTTTTTCATCTTTTACATAAGTAGCTATTTTGCATCTCAGATTTCTTGTATTTTCGAAGCTGTGCGGAATTTTCGTTTTGGAATATTGGAGAGGTAGGTGAATTGAAGTTTTCTGGCGTTACTTTTTGTCCTTTTCGTTTAATTCGGAGCTCCGCGCATAAATCAAAGTGCTTAAACATTTAAGTAAAGAGGAGATCTAGTCTTTTTTGCCTATAATGTCAGTTTTTCCAAGTTTAAAAAATTATATTTTCAAGATTCTTATTGCAGCGTTTCTTCTGTTTTAAAATTTTTCTTTTCAGAATTTATTCAGGGCATATCGCAATTCAGCGTAAAGGGCGACAAGAATGTTAAGTTAAAGTGTCTGTTTTTGCTTACTATTTTTGTCTGTTCTTTATTTTGACGCTTGAAAGCCATTATTTTAGTATCTTACAGTTTTCAACTCTAGTGGTTAAAGTTGGTTAAGATTACTGCAAAACGTCTTCTATACTGAAATGGGATAATTATGCATAGATTTTTTTCAGTTGCTTTTCGCATTTACGACATGGATCGAGATGGCTTTATTTCAAATGGTGAATTATTTCAGGTAACGATATTTTAATCTAGAGTTTAGTCAGTGTTTAGTAAGACGTATGAGATTCATTTTCATGTCAAAATTTTTTCTTGAGCATATTGACAAATTTACTTTATGGAACAAATTTTACGGTTAAGATGCATATACATGGAACCCAAAGAACTACGTTAAGTTAAAATGTTTAAGAATGTCAAAATGCAAAATATTAGTTTTTTTTCGGATAGAATAGTTTTCAAATATAGCGTTCTTGAATTTATTAGGTATTTTTTTTTTTTTTTTTGTATTAGAGTTTTTATTTAGCTAGTAAGATGAAAGCTTGTCTGGAAACACTCAGTAAACAAACGTCGCACTGTAAAGTTTCTGGTGACTGAGAGAGGTTTTTCTGATTTATTCATCGTCTCATTTTTGTTCAAGGACTGAGTTGCGTATTTCCGTTAATTACCTTAGATGCTTTTCTCTTAAAAAATTGTAGTGTTACATCCGTTATTTTACCACAAATGACATAATTTATGCTAGCAAAATCATTTGAAGTTTGGATCTCTCACTGAAATTGAATTACGAACAGTCATCAGGTTCATTTGCGGATCTTGTTTTTCTTTTGAATCGTGTTTCCTAAATTAATTTGCTTTTTAAGTATCAGTTTTTTGATCAGAACAGTTGCACTGAGGGGCCTGAACTGCGATTTACTTTCGGAAAAGACTTTTGTTAATTTTTTTACAAACATTTAAGTGCGCTTTTTTTGCGCAGCTATACGGAATGCTCGGTACTGAAGCAAATAAATAAAAGTGATGGGACTTTTTGCTTTTTAGGGGTTCTTTACGATTTAAAAGGTGTCATTTCTTTAAGGAAGTTAGAATGTTGTTTTTATGTAGCAGGGTTTTGAGAATCAAAGTTTACGTCTTGGGGAAAAGATAGTTTTTTCATAGCCATCAAAATTACTTCATTTTTCGGCATATTTTTTATATCTTTTAAATAACTACCAATTCAAATATTTTAGAAGGAATTGTGTCGAGGTCGCACCTTTTGATCTTTGCTTTTTCTTGCGGTTGTATTTCGATGAGATCTTTAAAGAAGTTCTGCATTCAAAGAAGCTCTGCATTCAGTGTAGTTCAAAAGTTATAGGTTTTGAAAATGATGGTCGGTAACAATTTGAAAGACACGCAGTTGCAACAGATCGTTGATAAAACCATTCTTTTTCACGATAGAGACGGCGATGGAAAGATTTCTTTCAAAGAGTTTTGCGAGGTCTATTTTTTTTTTTTTACTATAGTTTAGTATTCGTTTATTTGGCATTTGGAATTACTTTGAACAGTCTTTGACAAAGATGATATCTGTACGGCAAAAACACGTGACAGGTAGAATTAGAGCAGTGCAGTTCGTAAAAGAATGTCATCCATATTTTGTCGCTTGATAGTTGTCGTTATGGATTGATTTTTTCCGTGAATTTTTACGCTTTCAATTGTAACTTTAGGTTGTGGGTAACCTTGACGTGCATGAAAAAATGGTGGTAAAACCTTAAGAATTATTTGTCAACTTTATTCGGTCTTTCTGCGATTTCACGCCCTCTGTTTGCAAATGGCTTTCCAGTTTTAATTAACAACGTGCGCAAACCCAGGTAAACATCCCAAAGATTCACGTTGGAGATCTTTTTTTTTTCTTTTTGCTTTATTACTGAGTAATTTAATTCCCTTAAGTCCTTTTTTCAAGTTGCTTAACAATCAGAAGCTTATTTGCTAATTCTGCATAAGCGTCGCCAGTTATGTTGCTTTACTGTTCGATTTAAGTATATGTCTCGCAATGTACGCAGTGCCATATTGCCAGTCACATTAGAGTTTAGTGTGATTTTTGTTTAGAAAAATTTAGGGCAGGCTATCTTTATGTTGATTCGATTTCACCATTCGTCCAATTGCTCTTTTAAATCCTACTGAATTTAATGTTTGAACGACCCTATAATTTGTATAATTTGTAAAAGTCATTCTTGTTTGTTCAGTGCTACATTTCATGATACTGACTCATTTTTTAAAAAATGCCTTTTTACTGAGACATTGGTAAATGTATGCGTTGTTTCCTAAAATTCAAGTTATAAATTTTTGGAGCCTTCAGGCAATTGTAGTAAACCCAAACACGCCCGAAGAGTTTGGGAAAGTTGCTTCCAGATTCGTTCAAGATTTTTTTCCTTGTACTTTTTATTGGAATTTAGAGGATTTTAGAAAAGCTTGTAATTAGTCAAGTATATTAATTATTAGTTTTACAGACGCTATTAGTACGAATTTTTATTTTTAAAGGGTTGCTCCGATTTTAGACATTCAGTTCTTGATGTTTTTCATGTTTGAAATTTTCCAAAAGTATTTTGTAATTGATATCTGTACATCCGTTGTTCATATTCATTATTTGGATATTTTGTTAAGTTGCCTATATAAATCTATTAAATCATTTAATAAAGGTTTCAAAGCCAGTGTTTTCAAGAAGTGTAGGATTGGCATTACGATTACAACGTGTATATTTCTTCTTAGACGTCCAGTTTGATATCACTTTCCTTTTTTGGTGGGTGTCTTTTATGGAAAACAAGTTTAAATGCATACTTTGAAGAACGGCTTTTTTACTGCTTTAAATATTGCGGAGATTGACATGTTTAGGTGGCGAAGTTGCAAGCGCTTTTTTAGGCAGCAAAGCCTTTTGCAGAGTTACTATGAGTTTTCTTGCAAAGCATCTTTGATTGCCTAAGCAGTTGTGGACTTTAATTTTGCCAGAAGTTGCCTTGGGTCACTTCAAGTAAATAGCGTGAAGAAATGAACACAGTAAAAGTTGTACAGAAAATTCTTGCTGGGTAAACTTCTTGAGCTGTTCTTTTTTTTGTGACTGTGGAAGATGAACTTTAAGATGCTGAAGTCCAGAGGCGGCTAATTTATTTCTGGGTATATTGTTGTTGCTTCGCTATTAGTAGGTGTGAGTCCTGCACAGGTGCTTGATGTTTTTGAGTCTCTCGTTGGTACTGTTGTTCTCGAAACGCCGGTAAGAATATTTTCCATTTTCCTGCTCTTTCCTAAGCTAATTACAAAGAGGTGTATTTTTAACCATCGGCTAAAAGACTTTGGTTGAGAAGCACTTCGAGTCGAAACTTGATTTTTATAGAGTTATTTGTCTACTGCTGCCAACTTTTTACGCAATTTGGCAAATTGTAGTTTTGCCCGGAGTTTGATATGCCTATAACAGTAACCATCATTAGAGTTCATATAAGAAGTTGGTAATACAGGAACAACTTTAAGACTTTACAAGTTTGAAAGAACACGGTGGGTTTTTGCGACTGCGATAAGGCAAAGTTAATATTTTTGTCATTAAAACACTTGGCAGTAGTTGATCGGGATTTTTTTCGTTAAGTGGATGGATAGTTGTTGATTGTAACGTTGGTTTAGTGAGGTAAGCTCGAAGTTATTGGATTTCCTAACAACGGTCTTTTGAGAGGTCCGCGTTATTTGGATTGTTCGAGGGCGCTTAAACAATTTTGAAGTTACTGTCAGTGATTTTTCCCATTTGTTGGTTGTGGTAAACAAAGACTGAATACGTTTATCTGTTAAATTTGAAAATACCAAGTTTGTGCGTGTATCTTTTCTGAGTGACTCGTATCAATGTGTAATTCTTGCTAGCGATCTTAGTTTATCTTGCTTCACAGAAAACAGCATTTATCAATGCCGTTTTGCAGCTGCACAACTGCTTACGACATCTTAGCAGAGAAACCAGACCACTTTTTTATAAAATTTAAATTATAACAGATGAGAAATGGAAGATTAAGAACAGTATGGGGAATAATAATCCGGCTATGTTATCTTAATTCGTAACCAAAGTAAAAATGAGTAATTTCCAGCGGAAAAACTTTCCGTAAGAATTAACCTCACTGAATCATAATCAATCATCAGATCACTCCAGCAACAACAGTTTATCGTGGACGTGATGGACGTGATTGTTTTCTCGTCCATTTAGCATAATTTTCAAATGGCAACAGTGCGCTGGCATTGGCAGTTTTTAACAGTTGTGCAAACGTAAACAAATATAAAGACTTTTGAGTTTTTAAAAGATCCAGCGTTTTTTACAGGGCCGTTAATGCTTAATTACAACTGTGAAATATGCAAAAAAAAGAGAGGTGAAATTCTTCGCAATACATCTGTCAAAAAAAATTTTTTTTTTGTTTGACTCTGAAAGACGTTTATTTGCTGCGACGCAAGTTTAACACCTTTGCAGTGCTTAGTCTAAGTTTTTCTGTTCCTTTTTTTTTTTTATGTTAAATGTTGTTAACAAATTGCAACAGTGACAACGCTAAGAATTCGTTGAAAAATATATGTATCATCCACCATTACGTGGGCAGTTTCATATTGCATCCGTACTACAAGATCCTTTTGAAAAAAGACCAACAAAAGCAGTTTCCAATGCAGCTGCAAAACGGCATTGCTTCCTCTTCCTCCTGCTTTTCGAGGCTAACCTGAAAACTACACCTTAACGACCATAAAATACACACGAGTATGTACAGCTAGAAATGGACTTCCAAAAACAAACCAGTACCCTAAACCTACCACACCAAATGAATCGTGAGATTTTTCGTACACCACCTTGGCGTCCACCAACATGTGGGCTCCAAACAAGTATCAGATGATCAATTTAGTGTCGCAGAACCCAAACAGAAAACTGAATGGGAACGGTTTTTGTCATTTATTTTTCTAAGATTTCCAGATTTCTGGCAAGTTTTAGTAACTTCAGCGAACGAGAGTTTTCAAGTCCCAACCTTGGCAAGAGTCTAGAGCTGAATTTCCAATCTTGAAAATGTCCTCCCTCTTCCGAGGAAGCAAAATAAATTCCTTATAACAACGCATAACAAAAATCAATGTGCAAATGGCTTCAAAGACTCTTAAGACATTTATTACAGAACACCACAACACGATCTAAGGTACGGAACTAGTCAGAAAAAGGAAAAAGAAGAGACCAAAATGTAGCAGTGGACCACGAAACTCAACTGCTTTGGATTTTATCAGTTTTTTTTCGCCGCATAACTTAATTCTATCACAGGCACTTCTGGTCCTTAAGGACACAGGTACAGTCATCTAGCAACCAATTATCATCACATGTATACACAAACAAAACACCAGAGCAACTCTTTGTCAAAGCGAGCATCTTCCCATACAACAAATTCACTTACCGCTCCTTGTGTAATAACTTTCTTCAGGAATTTTCTTCAATAATTTATAGCTAATTTTAGGCAAACAATAACTCTATAAACGCTACACTCCCACACGTTAGAAACTAATATAAACAAACCATATTCTTTTAAAGGAAAGAAATTAATACAATGCCCTATGCACTGATAAGCGAATAAGGATTTTAAGAAACACAGAGTGAAGATTAAGAAAAGAGAAGATTAATTATCAACCTATACAATTTTTAAATGTTTGTAAACGCAAAAAAAATGACCTAAATCCAGTCTGCTGAACTGTAAATTACACTAGAAGAAACCAAAACTTTTTTACAAACGACTTCAAATTGCACACATAAGGCATAAAAACAACCCTTCCCTCGTAACAAGTTTTGAGATCAAAAGGATCTTTTACAAGGTACTAACATCAATCAGCAGACCACTTGAGAAGACTTTCCCAAAAACTACAAAAGCTTGGTCATTGATAGTTAAAAGATCTCTTATCCAAAGCTTTCATCCTTTCGCTTCTGAGCAAGGAAAGACGAGAGGCTTCTGTGGGGTGGTACAAAGAACGGTCGAGGGTTGTAGACTTTGACAAATTTCCCGCCCAAGTCATTAACAAAGCCTAAAATATCTGGAACATTTAACTATAAACCAAGCAGCATTAAAATTACTCATAAAAAACTTCATATGACAAATTCCTGCTGCCTTTCATTGAAAAACTCTAATCTTTCTTATTAAAATGTAAAAATTAAAAACAATGAAGGGTCCCACAGAAACCAAAATGGCACCCTAACACTAACACATCATTAAAAAGTTGGACCAAAAGAAATGACTAATGATTCAACTAGAAGAATGAATGAGGCAACTAGCTTCTACAATATTAAATCATCTTACTTCTGGATCGTAATGACAAGTATTGTGACACTCCGTGTAAAAGCAAACGATGCCACGCTGAGGGCATTGTGTCCGATATCCATTTAGCTTCCTTTGATCCATGAGAAATAAAGAACTGTCGAAGCATATCTTCGATATCATTTATAAACGTCTCAAAAAAGAATATGCAAAAAAATTAATAAAAATACTTCATAATTCTAATCAATAGCGGAGCTCCAATACATAAAAACTTCAGTGACCTCTAATGGTAACTAAAATTAACAATTCAAACGCAGTTTACTTTTTAAGTGATGAAGTAGAAAGACCCCTGAGACTTAACATCTCAAAAACACAACAATATTTTTTTACAAAAAAAGCCTTATCAAAATTAAAGCCAGGAGACGCTCTAAAATAATATGCATAAGACAAGATAAAAGCTAGCATGCTTTACAAGTCCAATTTTACTGCAGTCAAAAAAACCGCAAACTGATTATTACACACTGAAACTAAAAAAAAAAGCTAACAAAAAAATTCAAATAAAAAAGTATTAAATAAAAATATTAAAAAATCCAGAAAAAAAAAATACCATCGCATCACTGTTAGATTTGCTTTCTGTTCTCAGCATCAATTAATGACTTCGTAAAACTTACCCACGGTAACTCTCGTCTGTAAAAAAGATTTTTGAAGTGCACATCTAATCTGGAGAAGCATGCTGCAGCAGAATAAGCTGGGTGGTCTGAAATTTTACGACTGTTTTGAAAGACTATCGTCATGCAAAATTAACAGGGTTTTCAACAACTTTTCACTACCAAGGCTGACGATCTACATAAGAAATGAAGAGAATTTCACCAAAACTGATGTTCGAGGGTCAAGTGACCACGAGAAAACTGAATTTTGATAACCTTCAGTCTATTTTGTAGTATGGTGAACCACAAACAAAAATCATTAAAACAACTTTAACTAAAATTCATAACAAATATAAAGCTCACCGAAAATTATTAGCTAACAAAATTTTTCGGTCATTGGAACCTCTGAATTGATTGCTTGAAAATGCAAGAAACTCAACTGGTTGTATAAAGAACTTTTAGAGCTAAAAAACGAAATTATAACTTACGACTGCGAGAATCACGGTCAAGATTTTCCCTAACCCACTTGTCCTTATTACGTCTCTCTGCCGAGCTGCTTGCGTAATGACCACCGTCTTCAAGATCGTCATTTTTATAATTATCGGCTTTCCTCAAAAACGCTTCCTGTTCCTCTTCGTCTTTTTCGATAAAATCATTCCAAGCCTAAATGTCGACAGATATACACTTAAAAACAGCAATCCGTAGATTCAGTACAGTAACCGAAGAAGACAATGGGAATCTCCGCCACAATTACTACTTTTCAATAAGGACTATTTATTTAACTAAGAAAGACAGAACCTTCATATTAGACTGATCAATAAACAGTAAGGCAAATGCCGAAACCGTTTCAGGAACGAGATCAGAAAAATCTTCACATATATCATTAGGATCCGCCAATGCGTATATGAGTTTGGCTAAAATTCGCAAACCATGCAAAAACAGAAATGCGTTACAATTCCAGTGTTCGCCTCTGATAAGAAATCGAATGTTATCAGAAACCATGAGTAGTAAATTTGTGACAGAAGTGTTTTCCTTCACTTAATCAATAGTAAAAATTCTGTATTATCAAATGCCCTCATAACCAGTCGCACATGTACGACAGACATTGCTTTAACATTTTTCAATTATGGAAATTATTTCGCCTATCTTGGCTACAACTAAGTGCCAACAAAAAAACTATGGCTTTTTAAACTGCTGGATATTTCATATGCTTGTGAACTGCAACAACCCACCAAATGAGTTTTGATTAAATAAACAGACCATTCTCTAAACGCCTGTATTTGCGGTTTCCCACACGGTCTTGTTCCTTCACAGTACCAACTAAACAATCTTTATCTAACAAACGTCGGATTCTCCGCCCTGCACGACCAACCTTAAAAGAA